TATACATGAAAAATTAGAAACAACTAAAAAGTTTATTAAAGCTTGGTTTTGCATCCCAGATACCCTAAGCTTGATAGCCAAACATTTTTGTATTACAATATTATAATTATTACTGGAATATGGTAGTATTTTAAGATATGCATACTGTTGCGACTTATGATCTCTTTAATGAGAATAAGTTATATTGTTTTTTTTTTTTTTACATAACTAATAAAACAATTGTAAGTAGTTCCAATTCCAAAAATCTAATACGTGTGGTAAGACATAATCGTAAAAATTGCAGTAAAAAACATACCTTGTAAAATGTTATACGTCTTTAAAAAACATTTAAAAACGTTTACTAAATTGTAGTTTTTATGTTGAAATATACTTTTGATTATTGTAATTCTTAAGACATTTGCTTTACGTATAAAATGTAAAGTATATTGTACTTTCATACCAGTGTGTAACAATAATTATAGTCTACAAAGGCCAGTGTGACTTCTTCGAGCAAGTACCCCTGTGAATTTTCGTGTTTTTTCACTGCGCAATGTGCTTTGCTAAGGGGATAGGCAACTTTCTCGCAACAAAACTACATGCTTCCCTTTACCCTATAACGGAAGGCTTTCCATCATTTCCTAGTCTCTTTCCAAAGTTACAAATGCTTTTTTTGATACTTTTGTGTACCTGGACGAATAATATAAAAAAAAGTTTAAAAATATGTAAGCGGGAGATTAGAAAAGTCATAAAGCGGAGTGTAGCTAGAGTGTCCAAAATTCTCCGATTTGCTCGGGGACTAACTAAGAAATTTAAAAGCCAAGCAGTGATGTGTAAATATGTGTATATGTGAATTGGTGTATCGTCCTCTAATACTTCTACCATTGACCTACCACGCATCTTCGGCCACACTCCCCGTTATACCCTCTCTATCGAGAAACGGACGAGCGGTACTATCTCTGGAGAACTGCAATCGGACTCTTGGTGCTCGAACCAAGGACGAAATCTATAGATCTCATCTCTCTGTCAAAGCATGTGGTAACTTTTATGCAAGTATAGCCAGATTGGTTCTTTTTCAGTACACATGTTCTTTTGATTTGATTTAATCTTATTGACAGTTTGAAATCTGTATTTGGCCACTTCCTACGATTTGCTTCCTTGGTGCATAATATATTTTATTTTATTAATAATTACAGTAAAGTAACAAAAATTTATTATATTGAAGAGAAATATCAAGCTTATACGAAATTAAAAGTAAGACAGGAAAAAGGGTAAAAAGACTGAGATGTCAGAATCGCAAAGATTACATTAATAATGATAGAAGTAATTTTGCAATAGAGAATAGGATGTATATTAAACCATGCCTACCCTTATGTACATGAACTAAATGCAATGAAAGAAAAACATAACAGGGGCATCATAAATATATCTAGTGGGTGTATTTCGCAAACGCTGCCAGCAGTTAGGTACGTAGGTTATGGTCACGCTGCATAGTTGAGTAGCGCTACTGTCAATCTGTACTAATCATTATCAGTGAGTTTCATTGATGTAAGCAAACTCTGAAATATTGATAAAACTGAGTCATTTTGCTGAAATTTTTAAGTTTATTTATATCGTCGGAACCTACCGACAATTAGTAAAGGTTGACAGTAGCGCCACCCAAGCATGAAGTGTTGCCACAATCTATTTAACTTAATGCTAGCAAAATTTGCTGAATACATTCTAGGTGTTTATTGAAAGAAGATAGGGTGTCTAATATATTTTGGCCAGAAACACTTAGATTAGCAACTTATTTAATGAATAAGATTATCAGGAATACTGTTTAGCTAAATAAAACATTTAATTAATTATGATTTGAGAAGAACCTTAGTTAAAAAGTTTAAAAAATTAGAAAGTCTGTGGAAGTAGAGCTTTTTAAGTATACCAAGGGAAAGAGAAAGTCAAAAAGAGAAAGAAGGGTCGAATAATAAGTCTTGTTAGGTTGAGAAAATACTTGTAACAGAGTTTTAATAAATATCAAAATTGTAGAAACTAGACATATTGATAGTAATAAAGTTAATAAAGATAGTGAAGACTGTATAGGTTAAAGATTAAGAGATACATTGATAGTTACAAGGTGAAATAAAAGCACAATTAAAAAAGTCAATATTAATGATAGAAAATTTTAATTGAAGACCAGCAACTAGGTAAGAAAAAGAGTCTCAAAGATACAGAGATGAAAATTTTGTAAATAGTAATATTATCCATGTTAACTATGCAAATACTGAGATATCTGTTTTTTACAATCACGTGATAAGTAGGTATGAATTGGAAGATTAAAAAAGGCGATAAGTGAAGAAATGTATTGTTTAAATTGAAATTAAGCTTAGATTTTTGTAAATAAACAAAATAATGAAGAAACTCAGATTTCAAATAGGTTTGTATAAAAAGATCTGATGATGTATTTATTTAGATTATCAGTAAAAGGATAACAGCGAAATGAATTAATTAATGATATCTATTTACCAGTAGCAAAAATGGAATCTTTAAGAGTGTTACCTTCCTACTATTCTCAGAAGAAATTAATCATAGAAAAAATAGATTTTAAGACAGCTATTTAAAAAAAATCATATTCAATCTCAGATTTATGTTAAAGAGCCACCAGATTACAAGAATAGGACTAAAAAAATACTAAATTTTATAAAACGTTGTATTTATTAAAAAAAGCCCAAGAGCTTGGTATAAATGTTCTGATACTTATCTAAATAACTTACGTTTCAAAAGAAGTCAAAATAAGTACATTAAAGTAATTTGTAATAAAAGATAAGTAAAATAAAAAATTATCATAGGTACTAACATAAATGATTAATTTAATAGGGAAATTATTACTTCCGGTCGATAAGAAAATGTTGTATTTGCAAACAAAAAGTATGATGATAAAAATTCTAAAATATAGAAAAGACTAATGGAAATAAATTAAAAAATGAAATATGCACAATTAGCATGTGATGATATAAGACACAAAAACTTAGTTGGAGCTTTTTTGTATGTCAGTTCAGGAACTACACCTGACATTAGTTTCAGTGTCAAATACCTGACAAGATTTTAAAGTTGTTATAACAGTATTCATTAGGAATTTACTTGGATAATTTCAAAACATTTGTATTCGATGGAAGATTTAATGTGAGTTTTTAAAAAGCAATTATCTGATAATGTTGTTAATTGTTAGATTGATCCTGTTTGGGCCAAAGATATGATTTCTCGAAAGTCAACGATATATTGTATCATAGATATGTATGAAAATATAATTATTGAGATCTAAGAAGCAAAATACTGTGAGTGAATCCTTAACAGTAGCTGAGTTTGTAGGAATAAAATTTTACGCAATACTGAATAACATACTTGGACTAAATATGTAACTACTAAAGAGAAATACTGCAGGGTTAAAAAACGAAAGAGATGTTATTTTAATAATAGTTAAAAAATAAATAATAACTTAAGTTACAGATTTATTCTAAGCATACTACAGTCCAGAACATATGTTTTAATAAATAATTTAACGTTTTAGAGAATGTTTATTGCCTTAATACACAGAAACGAGACAAATATACACTATCGTATTTTTACAAGTCTTTTATGCAAGACTTTTAACGGTACAGATTAAGGAAGTTTCGGGAATACCACTTAAAGGGGCAAGGAAGGGGGAGTCCCCCTGACCATTCAGCTTGGCCCCCTTTACTGCGTGCCTCCTCTTGCATCAAACAAACTCTATATTTTACTCACGTTTGAAGTTGGCATTGTTTAAAATATAACACGGCACAAAATTTTGCTTATTAAATTATTAAACAACAATTAATTCGTAGGTAGGTTCTTTCAATATCTCTGCATTAGTTAAAAAATTTTGTCCTTGCAAACTTCAAAATTGAAGTTACGTCCTGTAAGAGCCCATGCTAATCACATTATTTTTATTTCCACAATTCTTTTAAAAATAACCCATAACGAATATCAAAAAAATTCAAATGAGTTGTACGTTTTCTAGACTATCTGAAAAACTCAATATTATTGTGATCTTTACATTTTATTATCACTTCTAAACCTCCTTATATTTGAACAAAGACTTTGTTCACTGAAGGTTACGGGCCTAACTTCGAAAAAAATTAAATCATGGTCATAAATTTATTTATTTTTCAACTTTTTGTTATTTTAAATAAAGCTATGCGTTACATTGAATAAAGAACTTTCCTGTTTCCACTTAGTTAAGTGTAGTATTTTGTCATACCCTGATGACCTTATATTGAGTTTGTGGACTACCCTTTTACGTCTGTAAATATTTAACACCGAAGGCAACTTTTGTTTTTCAGCTCAATATCATGTAAGAAGTTGAGTAAAAACTGATGTAAATAAATTTACACTGATGTCACGAGCTAAAGTTCAAGTCTTTTGTGGTAAAATATCTCCAATAACCAGGATTACGATGTAATACCTAACGTTAACAATGAGCTATGATTTTAAATGTATTACATGACCTTTATTGGAACAATCCTGAATCTTTGAAGTTCCAGATGCGTTATACTATGAAAACCATAGCTAATGGTGAGCAATACATATCCTTCAGTTATAATAGAATTATTTTTAAAAATAAGTAACAGTCGAATTAGCTGTAGAAAATTAGTTACCTGAGTAATTGTTTGTTTAGATTGTTGCTTTAGGTCCTTATCCACTTCTTTGATACCATGAAGTTTGGAGGAAGTTCGTATCATACCTATTTCTAACGGCAATGGTTGATCTAGAATTTTTTGTGTTTAAGACTGGTACCTATCAGCAGCTGTTGTAAAAATAATGAGCGTATTTTTAAATATGGGTGCCTGGGGTGCTTAAAAGGATTGATTTGGATATGTTTCGGAATTCCAAAGTTCACCGCACATTTTTTTTTTACCAACAGTGTATGGACAGGCTAATTAGCATAAAAGCAGACGGAGAAACAGATGTATAGTCGTGTATGTGGATATACATATATGCAAAAACATGCTGGCCTCTTTATTTATCAGTTTATTTTTGTATAGTTTGTAACGAAAAGATGAGTGCCTGACTTCAGAATTTTTAAACTATCCAAAACCAAATTTTTCAGGCACTTTGGGCACTCGTACATTAAAATACGCTCAACTACCTCCTCAACTGTAGAAATACTCAGAGAGATAAGAGTACCTGCAGGGATTTTCTTCTCTTTTAGCATATCCGATGTTACAGAGCTAGAGACTGACATCGTCGTCAATATAGGTGGAACTTCTGGCATCACTGACGTCGCAGTAATAATTGATGTCGTCAAACATCTTGCTGTTGTTGTTGTTGTGCTTGTTGTTGTTTTTATTATTGTTGGTGTTGTCGTCGTCGTTGTTATAGCTGTTGTTACCACAGTTCCTAACGTTATTATCGAGGAGACCTGGAAGCCTTGCTGAGATGTTGAGGATGTACCTCCCTCTGAGCTTTGTGAGTCATCTTCTTCAAAAGTAATGTAGTGATCTGGATGCTGAGGTTTCGTCAGCTGACCCTCACAGGTCGCTTTGAATGGAATATGTCCCTCTGCAAGCACCCACACATTCTTAGTTTGTTAAATAATATTGTAATATTTCATAGAAAAAAAATAATGCTGAGTAAAGTCAATAAGTCACACCACTTACCTTTGACTGCTTTTTCTATTGGCTCGACTGTATGCAAAATATTTTTTTGAATGAGCTCAAGGGGCCCTGGCCGGTGGCTAATCTGATCGTTAAGAGTATCAGCAAGCTGAGCTTTCTTAAGCATACGTGTGCGTCCAGCAAGACTTGGATCGATGTAGCTGATATCCTCGAGAATGTGCTGGCGTACAAGTTCATCTCTGCATGGCCTCTGCTGAATTTTTGCCCTTAGTAAGTCTCCAGTTTTACGCCGCTCCAGCTGTTTTGCCTGTTCATGATAGGCTGTTGGCATTCTTACTTCCGGTCGATAAGAAAATGTTGTATTTGCAAACAAAAAGTATGATGATAAAAATTCTAAAATATAGAAAAGACTAATGGAAATAAATTAAAAAATGAAATATGCACAATTAGCATGTGATGATATAAGACACAAAAACTTAGTTGGAGCTTTTTTGTATGTCAGTTCAGGAACTACACCTGACATTAGTTTCAGNTGTTAACGATTAATTAATAAATAATTATATAAAAAAGGTTAAGATGTAATAAAGACTATCATCTTTCTAAAATATAAAGCAAAGTCACTAAGACCGTTGTAATCGCTAACCACGAAAACTACCCAACCGATCAAGCTAAAATTTTGCATAATAATTTTTAATACTTCCTAAATAGTTTTAGTAAAGTTTTTATCTTAAAAAATTTAATGACATGAGAAATCAATAAGATTAAGGTTTTGTATAAGTACGCTAGCTTTTTACGTCAGTTCAGTCAGATTTGCTAGGGGGCATAGAAGTATAATTGAAGCTACCTGCAATAGAATAAGGTAAGTCTAGTTATTATATCTCCGAGCAAAGTACCAAACTCCACACGATCATCAGCAGTACATGAAACGTAGAGCTGGAAATTGTGCAGATGGGTATCCCAGCTACTGACAACACTGTCCTCTAATGAATAAGCGGCTTACGTTGAACTTCATTCTGAATCACCAAGACTGATGAGTGACACCAATCAAGAGACGTTCTAAATGCTAACGTCTCTAGCAAAATACCAGGAGATGCATTTAGCCAGAGCTTAATCTGCTCTAGCACTTTAGGATTTCATGGCCATTCTTCCAACCATCCTGGGCCTACCAGATCAGACTTTGCTTCAACAGCAAGCCAGGGAAAACAACCCTGAGCTGTTTTGGCAGCTACAACGGCCTCCTTCTTAGGGGCCATCTCAGTGGTATACAAATAAAGTTGGTATTCTTTAGACCCACTTTCTCGACTAACAATCAGCAATTGGTTATCCGAGGAATGACCTGAAGACGAGATATTTGGTTAGCAGCGTACCTTTCTCCAGCAAGATACTCAGCAATAATAAGGAATAGCTGGAAGTTTCACCACCATCGCGTTTCAGGGTATTTACGTTCTTTACTTCACCATCACTCTCATTGATTCTTTTAAGGGCAACCTAAGGTTAAACTACCATTTATTAATACGTTTTTACTACTATTTCTGGCAACGATTCGTCGAACAAAAGACTATATAAAGCCAGCTACTATTAAACGAAGTGAGTCATTTACTGGCAGATATCACAAACTGAGTTGTTCGTTGCAAGGCTAGGAACCCTGGCAACTAACCATCCTATATTACCCTTTTGACTCAAAGGATTTAACCAGAAATTACTGAATCTCTCCGAGATCTGCATTGGGCAAACCTAACAGCTATGAAGAAAAACTAAGCTTGAGCAAACAGGACAGTCTCTAACAGGCAAGCACCACGAAAAAATATTCCCACTTCGGATTACCAAAACGACTTAGCTCTGCAAAAAAAGAAGGTATTTTTGACACCCACATCTCTAGCGGAACACCAGAAGACGTTGAAAAAATCCTTACAACTATCTGAAATGCTTTATACGGTGTAGTTTTCTTTTCAATAAGTCAGCTACTATAACAGCAGACCAGAGAAATCACCCTAAGATACCTGGGCAGTCACATTTGCTGAAAACTTTAGTACAGAAATAGTTTAGCTAACCCTTTGGGGCCAGCATTTTTTTATGGCGTAAGGGACTTATGGTATTTTTTTGCATCAACACATTTTTTTCACTTTTCACAGCTTATTACGTGAGTAAATAAACTGCATGGATTACGAACAAAAATGTTTTCGGTAAGAAGTTTTTGTTCTGAGAAACGTAAAGAATAGATTTAAAATTTTTCAACTAAAAACGTATTGCATTACGTGTGAACACAGTACGGTGTTCTAGTAAGTTGGTCTCGGGCAAAGCTAAAAGATAGGTAGGGGCACTAGTATATAAACGTATCTCATGGTGCGAAACAGGAGAAACTTCTAATCTTGGGTACAGGCTCTAAAGAAAGGCTGCAAAATGATGTTGAATGCTATTCTTATTTTATTGTCAATACCTTTTTACGGAAGTAAAGTGTTAGTTTTAATAATATTTTACATTCGAAACGTAAGAAATTGACTTCTTAAACCTAGAAAGAAAGGTGGAACTTAAAGAAAAAACTAAACAGAACAAAAATAATTGTTATTACTAGTTTTATCAACAGGAACAAAAATATTAAACCTTATGAGTGAAAGAATATTAAAAAAATATTATTATTAGTCGTCAAAAAAATTAAACATTAGAACTTCTTTTTTATTTCAGCTAGATTTTAATAAGAAATAGTTAAATAATTATAACACGTTCTGGATACTGGTGTGAGGGAACAAAATGTATCAGAGGCAAATTAAGATTAGTCCAATACAGAAATTTTTACAGGACTTCTAAAAAAAATATAACAATGAAAACTTTGAAGTAGATATGGGCTTGTCTTTATCAGAACGTAACCATATTTTTTAATTTTTCAATTTATTTTTAGTAAAAGAAGTTTTTCATATTACAGTATGTAAAAAGTAACGTGCAAAAACATTAAAAAAATTTATTGTTGAAATAAAATGCTTAGAATTTTTGCAAGACAGCAAGTCTTTTTTGATATCAATCAGTGGAAAATTTTGAGAAATATTTTTAACCTA